CAGCAAGCCCCGCCCCCACGGGATCGGGCCCCGCTCTTGGTAAAGCCGGCCCTGCCATATGTCTTTAATTTGCCGGCAAGAATATTGTGAGAGATCATATCAAAAGCTTTGCTAAAGTTAAGGAATAACACGTCCACTGCTTTCCCCTAATCCACAGAGCCAGTTATCTCGTCATAGAACGCAATGAGGTTAGTCAGGCATGACTTGCCCTTGATGACTTACCCCCCATGTAACAGCTGGGGGGCGGGGATGTTCTTTATCTTTGTCCATTCTGTACCAAACTTATCCAGCTTTGGAAAAGTGACAGAGCAGCAAAAAGAAAAGAGAAACTGGGTGCTGCCCTGCTGCAGTCTGGGTACTGGATCCCATGTTACCTGGGAACCGGACCAGTGCTGCCTCTAATTTTTCCCAGCCATGTGCGGAATTAATTTTGTTATGTGCACCAATATGAAGGTCATGTGTGACACATCACCTCCATATTGGCGCACATAACAAAATTCATGTGGCGGGGGTAGGGCCGAGGGGTTTGGAGTGTGGGAGGGGGCTCAGGGCTGGGACTAAGGGGTTCGGAGGGCAGGAGGGGGTGCAGACTCTGGCTGGGGGTGTGGGCTCTGGGGTGGGGCTGAGGATGAGAGGTTTGGGGTGCAGGAGGGTGCTCTGGACTGGGATCGAGTGGTTTGAAGGGTGGAAGGGGAATCAGGGCTGAGGCAGGGGGTTGTGGCATGGGGAGAGGCTCAGGGGTGCAGGCTCTGGGCGGTGCTTAAGCGGCTCCCGGAAGCAGCGGCATGTCCCTTCTCCGGCTCCTACCCAGAGGTGTGACTAGGCAGCTCTGCGCACTGCCCTGTTCACAGGCACCGCCCCTGCAGCTCCCATTGGCTGTGGTTCCCGGCCAATGGGAGCTGCGGGGGGCAGCACTTGGGGTGGGGGCAGTGTGCGAATTGGAGCGCCCTGGCTGCCTCTATGTGTAGGAGCCGGAGAGGGGCCATGCCGCTGCTTCTGGGAGCTGCGCGGAGCAGCCCCCAACCCTGCTCCCCAGCTGGAGCGGGGCAAGCCCCAGATCCCGCACCCCAGTGGGAGATCGAGAGCCAGATTAAAACGGCTGGTGGACTGGATCTGGTCCGCAGGCCGCAGTTTGCCCATCCCTGTGGTAGAGATTTGTCCATGCTTCAGGGACTCATGCACCTCAGCCAGGATTTGCAGTGACACTCAAATAGCATTGTCCAAACAGTCAGGTTTATTAGTCAGCTGGACACAGCCTAGGAAGTCCCTAGGTTAGCACAGAGAACTGAACATTAAAGCATAGACCTTTCTGGTCAGTCCAGAGCCCAGCCAAGCTGTAGTGAACCCCCATGGTCAAGCTCCATCTGTCTCCCCGTCTGACCTCTTTGGTCAGACTCCAGGTGAGCACCCAAATCTTATACCCCAACCTCCCCATCTCCAGTCCTCTGTTCTCCAGCTGGTGGATGTTGCTCAGCTCCCTGCGGAGACGGAATCCATCTCCCTCTGGGTCCCTGGATGGTAGGTGCCAATGTCCTGGTGACTGGATTTGCCATGGTCTTCCCAGATGCTCCACTGATATGGGGACGGAGGCCCAGACAGCCGGGCAACATCCACACCTATGTCTCTTAGCCTGCCCTGAGAGCAAACAGCTCTTTCCCCCCTGTGACAATGCGGTTCTGGCGGGACCCAACTGAGAGTGCCAACTCAGGACAAATTGCTCAAACAGGGCAGTTACAGCCCAAGGCTGGGGTTTTTCCACCTCTAAGGCAAACCAAACCAGCCAGACTAAGACTTCGGTCTCATCCCACTGGCTAACTACAAGTCTCACAAGCAATCTCCTTAGACACTCCAGTTTTTGAGTATTACCACCAGTGCCACACGTTATGGGGACAAATGGTTATAAAAACCAATACCCCAGTAAAAGAAAAAGGTTCTCCTGATCCCAAAGGACCAAGCCCCAGACCCAGGTCAATATACAAGTCAGACCTTACCCACAAATCACGCTATTGCCAATCCTTTAGAATCTAAAATTTAAAGGTTTATTCATAAAAGGAAAAAGATAGAAA